AATTATTACTTCGTAATTAAAGGCTTTATTAAGGCGTATGCACGATTATTTATAATACGTAAGAATTGGTAGAGTGATAATGAATTTTGTGAACAGTACTTATTACCCGTCGTCGAAAATTTAATTTAATTGATAAACTAAAGATGCAGGCGACAAAAGACTGCAGTTTAAAAAGTACGGAAACGATAGTATAGGTATAATGATGAAACTACATATAGGAATCTATTAGTAGTTTCATAAATTCTTTACTTTCACGGACAAACTACCAAGATTGCACTATAAAGATGATGAATAGTATGATATGGATACATGTAATTTTAAATTCTTTATCAAACACATTGACAGCGATAAATATCGTTATCAAGTAATCTAAGTCGAAGAATGTGTAGTTGTTGAAGACCTTCACCACATTTTGATTGAATGTGGTCGATATGAGTCTATACGAATTAATTCGATCGGCGATATGAATTTAAACAGATCTGACATAGGAACATTTTATTCCATTTTTGCCTCATTATGCTACAAAACTTGCATTTGAATTCATGGCTCTTTAATTGCGCATTAATATTTAATGTATCGTTTGTGTGATATGGGTAACTGAGAAGACTCACGTAAAAATCGTTTCTAAAAAAATAAAAAATTAAAGCAATCTAAAAATCGAACATGTTGTTAAGTTGCCCAGTACTGACCTAGCTCCTATCTCTTATCCTTTAAACGAGCAATTCTTATATATATAATCGGAATCTCAGAAACAGCTCCAGCGATTTTCATGAAATTTAGTATGTGCGTAGATTCAGGGGCGAAAAATCGATCTAGCTAGGTTTCATTTTTAGAAAATGTCCTTTTATCCCTGTTTTCAAGAATGAAAAATATCATTCGAATATGACAGTAAATTTCGCCGCAAAAAAAATGTTATCATAGCTCGGTCGGTAATCGGGCGGCCCCAAAACAGACGGCCTCGGTTCGTATCAAGATCATTTACATACTTATTTTTTTTTTACTTTTTTTTTGATTTCAGATCATTGCTTTCTTTATTTTTTGTCGATTTGTTATTTTGTTATTTTTTCCCTTTTTTTTAAAGTTCTTTCTTTTGTGAAAAACACCAGTTCATATTTTCTTATTATTACGTCGGTAAGGTCGAAAAATATTATGCATATTTCATTACTCAGTAATGCGCCCGGACACTGAGCTATCACGGCTGGTGAAGGAAAATCGTGAGGAAACCTGCATATTTTCGAAATAATAATAAAAAAAATATTTCGAAGATATGTCATGTCCGATCGGCACTGGGGCCGCGTGGTGGACTATGCCCTGTGGGAAAGGTATAGATATATACATTATATTATATATAATTATAAAATCGTTGTGTTTCTCTCAATTGATTGTTTCATCTGAAAATATCGGAAGAAAACATATGAATGGAACAATATTACTATTCAACGTGTAAATACTATTTAAATCTTGTCCAGAGGTTTTCTTTTTTGTCAATTATAATCTTCCGTCAAACCACAAATTTATTTTTATATTGGACGTCCAATAATGTTGTCTTTGTCTATATAAAGGTAATTTGAATTTAAACAAAATTTTCTTGAAAACATCAATGAAATACATATCATAAATAATATCCTAGTCAGATCAACATTATGATTTCTGCTTGTTTGAGTTTACGGCTGAAGATCGATCTCGCCAAGACTGCCATGAAGCACTATCCTGAGCCACCGGCATCCATAGACTACTCACACAATTGGTCAGGTTGTCCCCGCAACTAATGATGACCTATGCGTACTAATGATGGAAGTCCTCTTCTAGTAATATGCATAATTCGAAACAACAAAATAGTCTGGTCAGATTTTATAGACTACAAGTAAATAATTTGTAATATCGGTAACACTGATAAATTCCGTTATTAAAAACTGCAAGCTTTTCATTTAAAATCATGATTATACATAATTCTAATTGCTACAAACTTGTATAGAGTTTGAGGGAGCTAGTTGCCGTGTAGACGACAATCGATCTCTTCCCCAAACAGTTAAATTTTCAGAAATCGTCCTTCTCAACTTTTCGCGTAGTAACGTGCTTTTAAATTAGACGAACACGCAACCGTGTATAACGTTAAAACTTCACATTAAGTAATAATCTCACATGTGAGATATCTATTCAATAATATAAAATTAATTAATACTATGTCTATTTACAACAAGCTCCTTTGCACGATTGGGATCATTATCAACTTTATTGGTTAAAATGTTGTAAATAATAATAATCCCTCAAAGCTATACAAAACAAGAAACATTATTAATTGGATACGCAATTAATTTCTCTTTATATGGCGGTTTATACGTCAGAAATCAGAAAGAAAAGGATCATTATTCATCAGTAAAAAATTATCCATATTTTATTCCAGCAAAAGAAAGTTATGACTTTTTTTGCTAGTTCAGTTGGAAGAAAAAGCCGAAAAGCCCATTCTTATTACATATTTCAGAACGTTGGGATTTATATTTCCTTAGTACTGATACGGAAGCCACGCGAAGTCTGGCATGAGAGCTGGCAATAAATAAAAATTATTTAAATATACTGATGTAACAGTGTGATATCAAAAAATATTAAAGAATATAAACATTCCTCAATGTATTGAATTATAAATTAGCGTTCATTAAATGGTTAAATGGGTAATTTTTGGCTGGCGTGATCATAGCTGAAGCAGAGCATCGCCCGTTCGTAGCAAAATTGATATTTCAGGCAAATTTTAAAATGATTCATCGTTAGGGTTGTCTAGTCAAACGTTGGAAAGAGGATATTCCAATTGAAGATTAATCATTATGACACATGAGTTCATTAACTTGTTTATTATATAACTTAGTTTGCATTAATTACTGAGCTAATTAAATAGGATGGTTGATATTTGAACAATAGCCAACAATAATATTTTGAATAAAGAAATATTTTCCCTCGTCTATCCTGGTATAGCTATGTATGTATATGTATAATGCTAGAATATATAATCAATAAATAATAAACTAATATACCAAGCAGTAGAAAAGATGATTATTGTTGAAAACTCTATGAAAACAATTTTTTTCTAGTCTTATACATTCTTTTATTAAATTACCGAGTTCTAATACAATCTTAAAAGTACTTTCTTTCTGTTTTGGTACTACTAGAGCATTGGAGCCTGATAATGAAAATCGCTTGGGAAAAAGGTGTAAACTGTAATTACACTAAACTGTTTTCAGCAATTTATATAAAGATTGTTTAACACGTGAATTGTTTGTAAGAAAATTGTTGATTATTTTTTTCGCGACGTACGGTTGAGCGAATGCTTATTATAGTTGGTAAAGCGTCTGGGTGTTTAACGGTGGTAGGGCCACGCAGCAGCCTCGGCTGTTGCACTAATGGGCATGACCTCACAGAAGACCAGCGTAAAGTGGAAGTATGACAAATACTTTCGCGTTTCGTCTGGTGAGTGAGGTGGCCGGAGCCCAATTTTCAAAAGGTAACGCAAGTCACGCAACGCAAGTAAGTCAACGCATCTGTAACCCTCGGGTGTAGCAGATGTTCATGGGCGGCGGTATTCACTTACCATCAGGTGAACCGTCTGCTCGTTTGGCATCTTTTCACAAAAAAAGGGCGTACTATCCGAAAGACATTTCAAATACTACAGTTTCAAAAAGTTTAAAAAAAAAATTATTTTCAATTTCATCTCGAATGCAGAGAGTAGCACTAAAAATAAAATCCTTACTAATATTATAAGTAGTTAGTTTGTATGTATGGATGGATTTGTGTTACTCTTTCACCCAAACACTACTGAATGGATTTTAATGAAACTTTACAATAATACAGCTTATATATCAGAATAAGACATAATTACAAACTATAATTTATATACAAATTTTATGTATATCTGTCTTTTTATCTGAATGTTACGCCTTCAGCCTTTTCTACGCATACGTAGTCGCGGAAAGCAAAATTTAATAATTCCACTACAATCATCGCCAACCCTAATATGATGACGGATAGACCGCGAAAGCGACTCGTGATAATAATCGTGTAACGATGTTACTAAATTTAACACCAAAGTGCAAAATTATTAGTACAATAGTTGAGCAAACTCAGGCGTCCTTCAAGGTTCATTGTGGTAACACCTTAATGTAAATATTTGAATAAAATCAACTGCAGTTCCGTCAAAATAGCACTGGTATGATAACTAAGTATATATTTATAATTTATAAAACTGCAAAGTAAAATATAACGAAAGTAACATTAATGAAAAAGGATATTTACGTACGGACATATATACATATGCCTGTGATTTTTTAACACGGGCTCTTATCTTGCAGTTATTGGGATGCCTACCAAATTGTATCTGCTACGGTTCCCTACCATTAATCTATTAAATAAATATAAATAAAACGAAAACAGATTTTTATTAAGATCAATAGCTTTGCTTTGTTTCTCGTAAAGTATGAGCACCGAATATTGCTCGGAAGACGTTGCTTTAATGAGGCAAGGCCATCTTAAGATAACCCTAATTAGCTAGGCTCTGTTTCAGAAGTACTTATTATGTAAGCTCAAAAATTAAAGACGTGAAGGGATCACAGAAAAACTTTACAGGAAAAGGAATTAAAAAGAAAAAGGATTTAACAACATGCTCGTAATAAAGGCGTTCCAAACACGATCAGGCATTTGGTAAACTCAAAACATCATTTACGAAAGACGTACGTAAACGAACCGTATCGTGAAATAAGAACCGATGAAGAAATGAATGAAATAGCGAAACTCGAAAATGGCAATTTCACAGAAACATTAACGGATAATCAATAACCACTCAGCACGCGGGGTCATACGCCGCCCCGGCCGTTGACCGTGCGGGAGGCGCATCGTCTCCGACCTTGGAGGACGACACCTCAGCTGTTTTAGAGCCGTCCTGTCCGTCCGAGCCGAGCCGGCACACCATAGCCTACTGATCAGCCCGTGAACCGGAATGCGCAAGACGTACGGACCGCACGAGACGAAGGTGCGGAACCGGTGGTTGTGGCGGGGCCGCGCGCGCGGCGCCGGCTGGTCGCGCCCCACGAGCTTGCCGAGCAGGCCCAGCAGGGAGCGGCGCAGCGGCCGCGCCGGCACGCGCTCCTCCGCGCCGCCCGCGCCCAGCACCTCCAGCTCCACGGCGTCGCAGCGGGCTACCACCGCGCCATGCCGCGCCCCGCCCAGCCCGCGAGCCCGCTCCGCCACGGTGCGACACGCGCGCTCCGGCCCGTCGCGGGGCCGATACTCCACCGGCGAGCCACACTAGCGCCGCACCGACAACGGCGCGCGCATCACTCCTCTCGTACTCTCGTTTCTCCCCGCGCCGGCCGTGTTTACTGTTACGTCGAACTTCGCACGGCCTATTACCCGAATGACGGCGACGGTGTTGCGAAAACGATTTTCAGTCCGCGACTAGCGATATATCGCTAGGCAGCGGTGGGGCATATGTCAACACTGAAGAACAGCATTCTACATTGTTCGCAGTTCACTTTTGAACACCCCACTCGGCTAGCGTTGTAGATGCGCAGTGAAGGCTGTCTGGCGTGCTCTTTAAACGTGACCGCAAAAGGACGTCGGGCTTAACTCTTATTGCGTTGGTGGTATTTGTACTGGTGGAATATAAGGACATTCGTAAACAACGGAAAAACCTGTTTTAAGATTACCCATATTGGATACCTATAAATAAGTTTTGTTTTTATTATAAGAAAAAAGCAATTAATAATAATTTGGCATTTGATTTGAAAATGTCGCAATATCAAAGTAGTGTAATTTCCACATAATTATAGGAAATAAGTATACGCGCCCATTTTTTAACAACTACTCGTTGAACATGAAGCCCCATCTAATACCAATTGGCCATAATATGTCGAACAAACAAAATACAAATATCTCAATTTGTTTTTAGGGTTCCGTACCTTTAAAGGAAAATAAGCCTAATAAGATCACTGTCTTGTCCATCTGTCCATGTCTTATTGTGATTTAATATAATATCTATATGTAAATTGTTAATTCTGGGTGACAATGACGCTATTATGCACGAAGCATAATCAGAACCCAAATCTATGAATATCTAAGCGGAATATTCAAATCAATGGGGCCCTTTAGTCGGATCCTCTGAGGTGAAAATAATTTAATTCGTCCAATTGCACTTTGACCTTATAATAGACGAAGTAAGATGTATGATGATAAGATGAAGTTGATTTTTGAGAAGGTGAATGAGGATACATTGTTAAGAGTAAGGATTGGACTGAATATCTTAAAGCGACTCCTTGGAGTTAACGATATAACAAAAACTATTGCAATACAACAAGTCAAACGGTTCGCTTCGATTTGATTATATCATTGTCTTCATTGAAAATTATAAGGGGAGGAACTAGGTCACAGGGAAATAGGGTTCTCAGATTGCCCTTGATTATTGTAATTGTTGTCATTCTGAGAGACGTTTATATTTAAACTCAATTGTTATTTCTAAACGGATTTTAAAGAAGTTTTATAACCCCATGAGGTTTAGCGTTTCGATAAATACAATCCGATTTAGAAGATAATGGAACATAAAAATGCATAAGATGAATTACCGGGTACTATTATGGTTATTGGTCAGAAACTGACCTAATGTTTTTTGTGAGAAGCTAGCATGCGTTCACTTGATTTTAAGTGATAGCCGCCGGTCGTGGACATTTGCAACACCCCTAGGGTTGACCTTTTAATAAAGTGGGGCCGTTTACCTCACTCACCAGGCGAATAGCAGAAGTATAACTCATTCACTTCACGCCGGTCTCCTGTGAGGTCGTGTTACTTCCCCGGACGGACCTACCCATGAAACAGCGAAGACTGTTGCGTGGCTCTTCCACCACTTTTTTAAGTTTTTCCATCTATTCTGCGCCTACAATAAACCAAAACTTATCGTTTTAAAGCAAAGATTTTTTTTGTCGACCTGTATAATAAAATTTTATGAAGTGTGATTTCCATCTGAAAGTTTGTCTTGATTAAGCTCCGAAACGACCCAATGGATTAGAATGACAATTATAAGGTTAATAACGGGAATTTAACATAAAATTTCATGTTAATATTAAATATTGATATCTTGCAGGGTTCACAAGATTTATGTACATATAACAATTAATAATGAATTTATCAAAATTGAGTTTTTAATTTTATTCCGTTACAAGATCCACAAAGACAAAATTGCGAACATAAACTAGATGCCAATAAATCTGTATTTCCCAAGAGGGTGTTCAAATGACGATATAAAAACTACATTCAGAAGGAACCTCTTAACGACATTAGGTGGGTTGGCTATAAAGCATTAACCTAATTTAAATTAAACTACAAAACACATGCAGTGATGTAGCGAGATAAGTAAATCACTTTGTTTTAAACGGGCAACCTTAATGTGAATAACCTAGATCTAGGGCGGCGCGTACTTACGTTAAGTTACTTAACTTTGTTTTAGTTCAACAAACCAGCGAGCATGCTTTCGGGCATAACTAAGCTTATTAGAAATAAATGTGACGCGCGATTCAAATAAAAACCAACGTAAAACGTATACATCTTCTGTTATACTTTTTCTTTCTTATTTCCTTCCCTTATCCTACGCATGTGAGTTACACACGCGAATCATGGAATTAGTGGTGGTCGTGAACATTTTTTACGACCGGCCTCTTCAGATCAGCAACAATTACTGGTGGGTCAAACACAGTGTGGGTATCGAACCCACGCCGAATAGCTTAGCAACTGCGCCACCAAGTAAGAATGTGTTTTAATACAAACATAATAAACGTAAAATTTTATTTACAGTCAACAAGTAACATATTTAACGGCCCTTATTTTCTAACGCCCTTACAAAGCCTAATTATCCGTTCGATCACAATTGACGGTGATGTAATGTGCGAAACGCGTCATATCTTCACACTAAATAAAATGGAAGGGTTGGCCGGTATCATCAACAAATTCAGGTTAAACATTTAACATAATAAAAACTTGTAGAAAAAGTAAATGAAAAACTCACTCAATCGAACCCACGTGGGTACGATTCCCGGGTTCAATTCCCACAGCGGCGACAATCTTTTCGTACTTTTTCTACAAGCTTTAAATGTTTAATCTAAAGTGTAGAGATTAGCACTATAAAAATTTATTTTTAACATAATTTTCTGAATTTCATTGGCTATTTACATGTTTGTCTAAAGAGACTCAACTTAACTTTGAAACATTAAGAGAGTGCTTTAAACAACAATTGTTAGGTAAATATTCTAATAAAATGGCAAAGTATATTTTCCTACTCACTTAAACGTTCAGATACTTGTGTATCAATAGTGGCAGAGCCTGCAGATTATTTCTGGCTGCAAAATGAATAGGTCGGCTCTAATGGGGGAGATCAATATCAGCATAGCGCTGTTTTTAGCACATTGAGTGGAAGAAGGTGCAATGCAATTAAAGGTGCACGAGGCATTAGCTCGTTTTCTATCAGGTGACAGTAAGTTATTGTGATTACAAAACGAATGTACTAACTTAACGACGCATCGGATGACACGTTTCTCGTGATCTGTTGTGGAAATCGCGGTTATATTGATTATATTCTCTCCGACCAGACTCCCGCCTTGTCGTGCCGAAGGGGCTTAAAAGCCGTGACTTGGTCATCTACGGCGAAACCAAAAGGGACACAAACCAAACTGGGACAGCCTGCGGTGTGAGGCCGGCCCAAGAGGGCCGCTCAGAGTGGGCTCATTGAGCCCACTCTGGATGCTTTCTAGGTGCAGGCGACAAATCAAAAAACAAAGGAACAAGGACAAAGGGGGATTGAGGAGGGGGCACTCTCTCTGTCTTCTGCTACCGAGATGGAGTCGCAGGAAGAGGAGTATCGGTATTGCGCTTGGCCGTTCTCCTTAAAAGTAGACAAAATCAACGTTTCATAGTTCTGTTTTCTAATTCAAAATTGGACTGATTTTATTACTTACATCATTCAAAATTAATGAAATACTTTGGCTGTGTTCATATTTTCTACGTCTTTTATATAGTTACGTCAAAATTTGTTTGTTGGATGTCTGAACACTGCTGAAAATTTGGTCATTTATTTAGGGTTTTGAAGGACATTAACACTTAATAAATGATTTATGGTTACGGGTACGGGCTAGTGGCATTTTCCGGGACGAAACACGAGACCACGTTTGTATGAAAGGTCCTAATAGTTTTAAAAGCCATATATTTTTCAAGTACCTAACGCTGAATTTTTTTTATGTAAAATATTGCCAAGCAAGCAGACGGTTCACCTGATGTTAAGTGAATACCGCCGCCCATGTACATCTGCTACACCCGAGGGCTCCAGATGTATTGACAACCTTTTGAAAATCGCGCTCCGGCTAGCTAGCCCTGTGAGCCGAGTGAGCTACTCACCAGACGAAACGCGAAAGTATTATACTTCCACTTTACACCGGTCTTCTGTGACGTCGCGGTACTTACCCGGACGAGCCTGCCCATTCGTGCAACAGCCGAGGCTGCTACCTGGCCCTACCATCGTAAAATATGTTTCAACATTTACAGATGAAAGTAATGTTTTTAAATAATTGTAATATTTAGGCTAATTAAAAAATCTACATCCGTGTTTGCAAGATATGTTGAATTTTATCCTCCTCAAGATAAGGTTAATTAAAATTGAGTGCTTCATTCAAAATTGTAATTCTAGACTGAATGCCTTTATTTACATGTGATTACCATCATCGAAAATATATTTAATTCAATTATTACATGGGCGCGAAAACTTGTAAAGAAGTTATTTTTCAAGCATAATAAATTAAGGACTTTTATCTCTTTTGATTGTGGATTTCATTCCAGACGTTGTGAACACTTTACAGAGCATATAGTCGTGAAGCGGACTGGTGAACTCCAGAAGTAATCAGTTATAGGAAGTTTGAGCTTTTGCACAATCAAGAACTCTATGTGAAAAGGATCAAAATTCTTTAAACGTTTTGGTATTCGGTATACCTAAGCACCGGGTCGTATTTTTAATTGTTATATATTTTCCTCAATATTTTTCAGGCATTTATTATTGTTACCTTAGTTATATTTAAATATTCAGTATATTCGATAGCACGTACTACGTCGACCACAGGAACAAAAATGAGTCTGAAATCGCCACACAAAACAAAGACCCTAAAGTGATTCAATTGTTAAATTAATGCTAACCACGCGCTGAGCGAATGTATACTTAACATCATGCAAATTTTCCGTTTCAAAAATTAAAGACTAACGTTGAATTGTCTTATTGTAATTTGGTAATATTAAGTATAGTAACAACCTATTTATGTCGTACTGCTGAGGGCAAAGGCCTCCTCTGCATCTGTGCAGGCCTTCTTTAGAGCAATCCCTCTGGGGTATTAGGGCATAGTCCATCACGTGACCCCACTGTGGATTGGCGGACTTCACATATCTTCGAAATATATTATTGTCCGTAATTCGAAAATATTCAGGTTTCCTCACGATGTTTTCCTTCCCCACCGAGTAAGTGATAAGTGAACACTTAAAATTAACAATTTCATTGGTGCTGGCACAGGGATTTCAGGGAACTCAGGTAGCTAGAGTCATCACTACATAGTATAAAACAAAGTCGTCCTGCTGTCGGTCTGTCCCTATATAGTCTTAGATCTTTAAAACTACGTAAAAGATTTTGATGCGGTTTTCTTTAATAAATAGAATGATTCAAGAGGATGGTTTACATGTATAATTAATGCATAATATAGTAGAGAAACACATAATTTTAGACGTTTCTAATGAGATGTCGAAAACAAACATTCACCATTGCACCCGTGCGAAGCCGGGCGGGTCGCTAGTTGAATTATAAAGGCAAGCGCCTGGGCACTGAGTTACCACGACTCATTTGGAAATGTGAGTATGATAAAATTTTACAGATAGATACACTAACACTCAATCAATGACTGATAATAGTTTTATATGAACATTCGATGTATAATTTTCAACACAAAAAAAACCGACTTCAAACAGGAAACTAACAAAACATTGTCAACACCTATGATATTTGAGAATTGCCCTCGATTTCTCTGGCATGGCATCATCAGATCTGGGTTTCCTTATCATGGTACCGCCCGTGGGATATCTCCTTTCCAACAAAAAAAGAATCATCAAAATCGGTTCATAAATGACGAAGTTATCCTCGAACACACATAAAAAAAATAAAAATATATACGGTCGAATTGAGAAACCTCCTCCTTTTTTGAAGTCGGTTAAAAACATTAAAAGATATTGAAAACTTGCATGGTCATGACATTTTTCTTGGTGTCAGCAAGTCTATTGAGAATTTCCTAATTTGGTCTATCCGTGAGTTTAAAAAAGAAAAGCAGTGATCAGTACAGAAAACTTTTTTTATTATTTTTTAACGGCAAATTAATAATGAAAGGTAATCTGACTTATCAGATCCATACTCCCTCCTACTCGATCTTCGTACGTTAGTATTTTATTCGTTTTTGGACAAAAGAAAAATATGTACGTCAAACTAACAATCTATTTTTAGGGTTCCGTACCCAATGGGTACAATGGTACTCCGCTGTCTGTCTGTCACCAGGCTGTAACTCATGAACCGTGCGAGTAAGATAGTTGAAATTTTCACGGATTATGAATTTCTGTTGCCGCTATAACAACAAACACTAAAAAACAGAATAAAAAAATATTTAAGTGGGGCTCCCATACAACAGACATGACTTTTTGACGCAAATAAATAGCAATAAATACTTACGTTAATCCAAATTGTATAAGTACAGTAAAACAAACGTGATGCTTAAAAACTTACTTTTTACTGTTTGTTTATATGGTACATTCCTTAAAAATTCCGTATTTAAGGCGCGAACGAAATTATAGCATAGAAATAATAACTTTGAGACTGTCATTGGTCGAATACTACTACTTTCATGTCCTGTAGTCGATAATTCTTACTACACAATAACAGTTTTTGATAAGTCTACCAATTACTTGTTAAAGTTATTATGAATCGACGAAACGTACTACGACTCTACAAGGCCGGGTGTAATGTCATCTTTTTTATCGTCGTTCTGAGTACATACCTATTTAGTTTCATGCCTTTCGTCATATTTTCTTGCAACTGTTAACATAATTATGCTATTGGTTGAAACTAAATAATTACACACTCCGCGTTACACTCCACGAACGCAATATACTTATATACAGCGTGTCGTTACCATCGCGACAATAAATGAACACACATATAGGGGATAACTTTTTAAAGTTGTATTAAACATTTAAATTCTTTAAACATCAACATTTACAGAGTTATTAAATTTTCAAAAACAAAGAATTTTAGAACATCCTTACGTATAAAACTATAACGTAAAGTTCATTTGTAAAGGTGACAAAGCATATGAATGGGTTGAATGATTTTAAAAGAGAAAAAACACACTGTTAGAAAGAGAGGTTTGTAATACGACGCTCTGGCCCGAGTTGTATAGGATGTTACAAATTTTGTTTCTAATTTCTATTCTTTCTTCTATTCTGTAAATAACATCATTTATTGTGCAAAATCAAGATTCGCAGATAAGGAGATAAGATTTTTTCAAGTACCGATGCATGATGTTACGAAATACCAATATGGCTTATATTATATACATAGTAACCTGGAGGACCGGTATTTTTTTTTTTGATAAATCGTGTATTTTGGAAGCCATGAACTGGTATAGAAAAAAAATAAAAAAAAAAGTGTGTAAATGATCGAGACACGAACCGCAACCTTCTGTTTCGGGGCCGCCCGATTACCAACCGAGCTATTATAACTTTTTTTTTTTTTCGACGAAATTTACCGTCTTATCGAATGATATTTTTAATTTCCTGAAAACAGGGATAAAAGGACATTTTCTAAAAATAAAAACTAGCTAGTTCGATTTTTCGCCCCCGAATCTAAAATGCATGAAAATCGCTGAAGCCGTTTCCGAGATTCCGATTATATCTACAGCGTGTCGTTACAACAGCGACAATAAATGAACACACCTCTAACGCTACTTACCCATAATCATAAAAAAAGATAAATGTTAAAAAAATTTCCATAATTAAAAATAATCTTTTAAATTAATTCAACCCATTCATATGCTTGGTGACATTTACAAATGAACTTTACGTTACAGTTTTATAGTAAGGATGTTCTAAAATTATTTTGGAAAATTTTATAACTCTGTAAATATTGATGTTTACTGAATGTAAATGTTTCATACAATTTTAAAAAGTTATCCTCTATATGTGTGTTCATTTATTGTCGCGGTTGTAACGACACGCTGTATATATATATATATATATATACAAGAATTGCTCGTTTAAAGGTATTAGATTAAACAGAGAAATCAGTCGTTCTAATTTCGAAATGGAAACACTTAAGATAGGGTTAGTCAAAACTAAATACGAAATTAAGATTTCACGTAAACGATGTTTCAAAACACAGCTTGAAATATGTACTTTCCATGATTTAATGGTCTACTAGTCAGATATCCACATTAAAGTTTCGCTATTGTGTACAATACATTTTTGTGAATGTCTTAAACTGAACAAAATAAATGACAAATTTTCTTTAGATGTAATAAAGAATATGATAAAATAAAATGATAAAATAAATAAATCTATAATATGAATATTTATTCCAAGAATAATAAAGTTAATTTTCTTTTCTTATGTCAAACATTTAGCATATAATTAAATATAACAATAATAAAACTAAACTGTGACTTTTTGTTGATAAATGATCAAAAACTTTTGGCGCTGCAGGATTCGAACCCGCATAACAATAATAATAATTTTTCAGTTTAATGTTTATACTTTTATTTAATACAACTGGCACAGTTGATTCAGTTACCTAGCTTAATTAGGTAAGTAATAGTGGGGCAATGTCGCCATTAATTATTAAAAAGTAACAATGCGACGTTTTCGACCTTCGCAGTACAGATATTTCAATGTAAAGTTAGCCCGGTGTACATGGAAAATCCACTCACCTTGGCCATGTGTTCTCGCTGAGGACTTTCCCATGTCGGCCGCACCATCGGCACACTGTCACACACGCGCGCGCGAACCACGAACACAAGCACTGTGCGTACTATATGTAGCTACCTTATATTAATTGGGTCGGTGTAAAAGTGGCGTAAAAAATGTTACACTATTCCTATCTAAGGGCACTTGCGGGTCAAGATTGGTTTCCTACGGAATCGCTGACGGTATGGCGGAGGGCCGCGCGGTGCGACCGGCATCCTGCGGACCTGGGCTGCACTTCGCCTCCCTGCAACGAACGGAAACCGTTTAATACGTCGGCATACAGTGAAAGGACGGACGGACGTGCACACGAACATGACATTAGTTGAAAGACGATTTTTTTTTATGTGAGAATGTGGAATACGAACTCGCGGTTCACCTGATGTTAAATGATAACCGCCGCCAATCGACATTTGCAGCATCCGCAAGGTTGCAGACGCGTTGCCACCTTTTAAATAAGTGGGCACCGGCTACTTCAGTTCCAACCAGACAATAAAACCGTTTAAAAACTTTTAAGTTAAACGGTTTTATTTTATGTGCACTGAAAACTACAATATTGTATTGTCATCTAAATTAAATGTGTGTACCAAATTTCTTCACGCCGCTCTTCTGTCAGGTCGTGGTACTTCCTTAGCCGAATCTGACCATTTAAGAAACAGCGGTAACTGTTGCGTGGCCCTACCACAATACACATATCACATATTTTGAAGCGCCTATTGTTATAGTTGCGGAAACAGAAGCGGAGATTAAATAAATCACTAATTGTGAAAAGGTGTTTATAGTTAACTTGTATTAACAATCTACAATTTAATCTTTAATACATTTACAAAATTATGGAATGTGAAGAATTTAAGAGCTTATTATCAACGCTGATGATGGAACCATAACAATGATTGATAAGACAACCTTACTGCTAAGGCACCAGCTGGATCAATAAACCTATTTTTGTACCGATCTTTCCAACATATATACAATATGGCAAACAAGATTAGAGCCGAACGATAAGCCCTTTTTCTATTTACACTTGCTTAGAGAATGCAAATTTACGTGATAAAATAAATGACATATAAATGTTAACACATTTTTAGAAACTAATTATATCCTATGAAACCAATTATATCTTAACTTCCCTTAAATGCTCAGTGGATGGTGTCTTAAACAAACTTGCTACACAAATGTCAACTTTAATTGCAATTATAGCATCAAAGTCCTAGGAATCGCAATAGGTAACAAAGAAACTGAGAAAAACGCAGTAGAACAAAGTGAAAGTTATATTAATTATGCTTCAATAGCGATAGAATCATCGATATATCATAACAAAAATCAGATAGGGAGGAAAAAAGTTTGTTTAGAACCAAATAAGGTAGCTTCGACCACGTGTTTTGAGAGCCCCATCAATTTAGTATCAAATAGGTAACCGAGGTTTTATCGTCTCAATTTTCAACTTTGAGAATAATGAGCAGTAGACTTGTTCTATGAAAATGTATTTTTGTCTAGAATATACCTTTAAACAAATCTATATTACCTTACTATATGGACAGTCAGTCGGGAAAAAGATTAAAGATATATAAATTAGCATTTTACTCACTATCAAAAAACTCTTATCTTAGTGTTGGAAAGTCAATCATTAAAATTATTACTGTTCCTGTCTAAACCAATACTGATATGACTTAATTATGTTATATTGGAATCATGTCTCATGTTCACAGAAGCTATAAAAACTGACCGCGACATAACGTATCAACATACGTACGTGTATTGAAACATTTATTTCGTTAAACAGAGCGCTTTCATATCGAATCGATATTGTCTGATAGCATTCGCTTGTACTTTTATTCAGAGCTGTGTATCTGATAGCGCGCCCTGCTCTAATCGACGATCTGTTTGGTTTTAAACATTATTTTCAAATTTGATATTGAGTGATAATTCAGTAACTCAGTAGCTCAGTGGTAGAACCCGAAATTTATCAGTATTTTTTTCTCTCGTAACTAAGTGTAACATTTTCAGCTGTCAAATTTGGTGACAAGTCAGTTAATTCATTTGAAGCAATGTGCGATTATTTGGTCAATATTTCAGAGTTCAACATTAACAAAATGAAAGTAAACGTTTTTGTAAAATAAATGATATATTTCTAACACATATTTTACATAAATTTTAGCACTCTGCACTCTTGCCCCACACTATTAAACTAATAATTTCTAGATAGCCTAAAATGTATCCTTACATTGAAATATTTTATATGTCGCACATCCAAACTACAAAAATAAACGCAGATTCATGCTGGGACTTTTCTAGACCGGTCTAGATTAGTGAACCAGTAATTTTTAATATTCATAAGAGCTTTCTTTAGCCTATAGTTATATGAAGTAACTTTGACTTATAAATTAAGTTTTGTTCGAGGCTTGCCGAATCGATTTTTAGCATTTCCAACGAATGCTTTAAAAGCTTGTGATAGAATTTCAGGTGCACCTGAACGTGACAAAAGCGAAATGATAAGCCGTGCTCAATAATATTGGTCAAATGCACTTAAAACAAGAAATGTTTTTTTCAACAAAGTTTATATCTAATTTTTCTATCAAATTTAACTAATGATAAAACGAAGAATATGAACACTTTGCAAAGGAGTTTCGCATGCCACTCGAACACTGAGAGCATATGAACATGAAACGATGCTCCTAATGAAACAATTAAAATAGATTGGCGGAATTGAGATGCGGTGCTTGATGTGTGCCAAGCGTTGACAATGAGCGCTTATCGACTGGGAGTCTCGTTGAGGCATTATTTCAACGATTGTCTTTGGCGTCAATATTCATCAATTTAGCGCTCGTGACGTTAACTGCGAATTGAAGTGGTATGCAATTCGATTCAAGCAGCCGACTTGTGGCAACTGGATGGGCGTGGCCGAAGTAAGAGGCAAATGCTAAGCTTCGATGTCCAACAACTGGCTGACGCAGGCTGGCTTTTTTATTACCTGCATACTTTCGGAATGATAACAAAAATATTTCGAATATACGTGATATTCGCCAATCCACAGTGGGGTCGCGTGGTGGACTATGTCCTAATACCCTCTGTACAGAGGCGGCCTTTCCCCAGCAGTGGGAGATTTATAAAATTTACTTTTACTTTTTTACGAGTCACAAACAATGAAACACCAAACTTTGGTTCTAGCAAGGTTTACACACGACGTCCTGCTGTTAGGCGATATAAATGAGTAAATAAGTAAGATATGAGTAAATAAGTAAATGGTTAATTCATCTAATAAATTAATGTAATGCACATGTAAATAACAGAGATTGGACACATAATCGAAGGGATTTGCGCTAAAAATACTTAACACATAGCATGAGAATCAAATTTAACTAGAAATTTATAAACAAATAAAATAATATTTCAGCGTGTAATCAAGAGTTCGTCAACCTGTAGCGCTCATTTAGAATTAAAGAAACTTTACTATGAAGAAAGACATACAAACATGAGGTAATAAGGAGGTTGACATTATATAGCCTTTAGACTTTCGAAAGTGGCTTATGAATTTCGAATGTGAACATTACTCAATTTTCAATAAAAACTTGTTTGGACATTATCCTGCAGCTTGGCTTTGCTTTTATAATATCAAGGTATATATATACATAAAAAATAGTACCATAGTAAATACAAAACCATTCCATTTTATGAAAATCAACCCCTTTCGTTCAAGAACTATATGTTAAATTGTGACGCGTTGTTTTAAAAATGTTTAATTTGTGTATTTTTTATTTTCAATATCAATTTAATTTTATCGCAACAATTGTACCTTAAACATATACAATTAAAATCCGTTATAGTTATATATTTAATGTAGTTTCAATAGGTTACTTTTTGTCGTTACTTTAAAATCTCTTTTCGGTTTACTTTTAATTTAAAAAAATGGAATAAATCAACTTTATAATATCTTTTCTCGGCAATAATTTTTAAACTTTAACAAAAATTTAACTGTAAAAATTTTTAACCCAAATGTGCGGATTTAATGAAATTAAGTAGTTAAAATAGTTATATATTTTGATTACGTAACGGTTTAATTTATTACGATAGATGCCCGTAAAAATAAGTTATTCAATTTATTGACAAACTCGACACCGGTTTGGAAGTGTTTATGTACATTAACACTTGTAATCAAAGTTGTAGGTTTTCCAATCAAAATAATATGGCAAATCTAATAAAGACATACTAATTTTGTCTATTTACTGTTTGTGTCAAGACTAATTTCATTTTATTTGTTATTTTTATATTTATTTGCTTATTTAATTTTTTTTTATTCTCTTCAAATGTTCTTTGCTTATTAAGCATTCCTCATGGCAAAAGCGAAAAAAGTAAGGCGAAATAAGGATTGTTTTAAAAGAATTGACTAAAGTGTGAAAAATTTAGAATAAACTCTTAGCTATTATATAGCTAAACTGTTTGTAAAAAAGCATGAAATAAATTGTGATGAGAAATGAGTCAGCATGAGTAAACTGAATCCAAATGTTCACAAATATCACATAAAAATAACAGCTTCCGATAAGCTTCGTGGCTGAATATTAATTCAAAAATATTAGTTTACATTTGTTTAAGCATACATTAGAATATGTACATTGATTAATAATTGCTTTTATGTTGCTCTGATCACTTTAGATTTTGATTTGACAGCGAGAGGGCGTGGGGTGCTACGAGTATCCTCTCACATTTTGTGGACGTATTATTCGGAAGGAGACCGCGCAGAGTGTAAGGGAGGCAACACTACATACAATAGCGCCACCAGAGACTAGGATGCAAGAGGCTGGCGTAAGCCCGCACTCTACCCCCGGATATTGAGCCCCCGGGCGGCAGGTAAAGCGACTGGACCGGGTGTCCTAGAACCCAGGGAAAGGAAACCTACGAAGACTGCATCCTCGTCTTCGAGTATTCCCGGCCACTACACAGAGCGAACCAAAATGGGGGTTCTCACGGCCCCCAGCCAACGATTAAGTACAGTCAACGGCCATCGGGACTACGGTCC